CGCCCTCCTTTTTTTCCAACCGCTCTCTCACTTCATTCCTCTTCTCCTTCAGTCTGTCATTTTCCATGCACTTTGTTGTAGAGTACTATTGCTTTTCATATCTTCTATATCCCCTGCCTTCAACCTCTTCATCCATGCATTACCAGCACCCCCACCACTTCCTCTTTCTTTTAATTCTACTCAACTGCAGCCCAGTCGGAAACTGAAGCTAAATGGCAGCTTTATAGAAGATCTACTGCCTGTAAACACTGGCAAGTGAGGAAGAAACGGTGCGTGTGGAAAAAAGACGGCGCACTATGCGCTCTCATTGGTCATAATGACACAGTTATGAGGCAGCAAAATATGGTAATCACAGCCAATACACTGCGATAGTGACAATATAACTACGGTTGTAAAATGCATAATGATTATTCAAAGCTCAGGGGGCATCACAACAAAGTCCAAATGCCAAGTGTGGCGTAAACCCACAGGAAATAGATGGATTTTTCCAGAAGCTCCCTTCTTACCGTAATGTCACCATTTACTGTGGTGAATTACTATAATCACAAAAAGAGTTAATGTGAGGTGACATTCAACACCTCCATTCCCACTCGCAGGTATTCTCTCAAACATGATATACATCCATATAAGCCCATTAAAGCGACCATATCTGTATAGATCTGTACATATAGCCACACAAAAGCAAACACAAAACATGTACAGACACACACCCAGACAACACTATGTCTCATACACACACACACACACACACACACACACACACACACACCTTCTTTCACCACTCAGAAACATTTTCTCCCTTGAATCTTTCCTCTCTTCCTTCATTTTTAGGATGGGGACTAATGGTGTATCCGACCTCCCCTCCCCTATATGATCCGATAGGGAGTGAAGAGGAGGTGACTAGAGGCTGAATGACAACAGGCCATAAAATAGAGACACTTCACAATAACGACTTTTTAAGATACAAATACTGATCATTATGAACTGATGTTGCTGGTGGTTGATTATTATAACACACACACACTCAAGTTTAAAACACACTTCCACAATTTCTGTCAAACACACACACACACACACACACATACGCACGGGGCAAAGTTTTTGTTTTCTGATATTTTCTTGATTTTGTGAATATATTTCTTTTTCTTTTTACTCTAATTGCAAATAAAGAATTTGAATTTTTTTAGTTTATAGAATAACATAATACTTATTGACTCCTTTCCAGATATGCACTTCAACAAATAATCAGAGGTTAAAAAAATATTGCAACACTGTCTCTGCTGCGTGATTACAAAACACATCAGCAATGAATGCTCGCAGATGTAAAATTGGGATTTAATATCAATATTATAGATACAATCAGATCATTAAAGTGAAAAGATAAAACTTTAAAAAAAGAAAATTACACATTATTTGTTCTCACAAAAGTTGAATTTATTAACAAAAAAAATGCACCCTTCTTTCGGTCACTAATATTAGCTAATATTAGTAAACCTTTGGTACATTGGACTTCACTCAGTTTACTGACTTTGTGACCCCCTCTACTACTGTTATAGTAGGTTTTAGCATTTAGCATCATAACCTATTTATCACTTGTGACCATTGTTTAGCAAAAGATACAAAGTAAAGCTGTAGTCTGGTAACAGCTCAAGGTTTAACTTTTTGAATCAATTCAGAAAATGAAAACTCTACTTCCCTTTTGCTAAACCGAAATGAAATGAGAAATTCTTCAGGGCAATGGTATAAAATTGCAAATAAACTATTGCAGACTACACAATTAGCCATATCATATCTGCTACCTTTCTCACAGCAGATGACCAGTAAATAAAGGGAGTCGGGTGTGAAATGATACAATTACAGTCCGTATGGCACTTCTGCTAACATCTGCCTGTTTATCTGCGGCCAGGTTGAGGTGCTCAGTGTGACACAGGGTTGATTTTTTATTGAGCCAGTCTGCCATTTTGGGAATGTGGAAGGTGGGGTGGGCCAATAACTGTTGCTGCTGGACCCACTGGGGACACCTGACACACTGGATTAGCTGGCCGGGTGCTCCTCTGACACTTTTTGTCTGCTTTCTGTCCATCAAATGAATACATGCACACGCACACACACACACACACACACACACACACACACACACACAAGATGCACTATGTCATGCACACGGATCTACGTGAACACTGTCGCGCGTAGAATCAGACTGAAACACCCACAGACACACACTCCCTGAGGATTACAAACATCACTTCATGGGACATCAGGAGACGTGTTGCTTTGCCGTTGAATGTGCCTGACCCGTGACGACCATGTTTGCTGTCAACATCCTGTCTCTACAAATCATCACCTCGCATTGGCCTTCTGCTTATAAGCCTGCTGCTGCAAGCCTGGGCAGTGAGGGAGGCTCCGTGTGGAAAACGATGCAAACACTTCAGAATCTTACATATATATTTGGACTGCAGCTCTAATTATAGTGTGTAAATATGTGTGTGTCAGAATAAGATACAGAAAGATAACCTGTGACATATTTACAGTCTCTCTTTTATCCCCACTGTCCTTGTCCTTGTAGCAGTCCACTGGGAACTTTCAAATTTTTTAGGCCATGGTCTACGAAAGAGTAAATCCCACATGTAACTCTTTGTATGCACAAAGCATTAGACAGGGCTCAACACTGCAGTGGCATCCCCAATGAGACTGCCTGATGTGGGTCACAACCGTCCCTTTGGGGAGGGAGATTTCACAGGACTGTACTTCCTTGTTGTGTTAGAGGAACCAGACAAATTTGGCACCTGTAACACCTAACAGAATGCTCCATTGGAGGCATCTTTCATGACAACTTGCTCTGTTTTCTTCTAGCTACATGGACATTTTTAAGACTCAGGGTTCCACTGGGACAGCATGGCAAGGATATCGCATAATATAAGCATCAAGAAAACAAAGTGGGTCTGATGTTGTGAGTGGGGTGTATTTTGTCCCGTTTAGAGAATCATCAGATGTCCAATCTCCAATCTGGGTCACAGTAACTTGATTCACCAAGGGAGCCCCCCCCCCATTACCTTCTCCTCTCTACAAAATATAACCCCTCTCTCTCTCTTTACACACCTCTTGTGTCAGATATGAAGTTGCCATCCAAACACCCCCACTGCAATCCCTCACTCACTCTTTTATGAGGGCGCATTCCTCCGCCCTTTTGTGCCACAGCCTCAACCGAACTTTTGCTTTCCTAATGTGTAACATCTCTGTTTCCCCAGGACGCCGCCCCATCAGACGATGATGACTGGAACCTTCAAAGCAGGTGCCGGCGCCTTCAGAGCAAGAGCCCAAAAATAGTTTGAGTGTATCTAGCTCACATAAATGAATCAAAGCTATTCTACACACCCACCAAGCAACCCCCCCTTTACTTCATCCATTTCCATTCCTTAGTCCCCATAACCTCCTAAAACTTCAGATGGGCTCCAGCCCCCGGCAGACGAACACAAAACCCGTCTAGTAAACTAACAAACAACAATAAAATAACACTCTTCAATTCTTGATCAGCAGAGGAAAAGGAAATAAAGATTTGACAAAGACAACAAGAGCGGCGAGGGGGGCGGAAGGAAAGAGGAACAAAAAGAATACAATATGGGCTGTGCATTAATGTTTCTTGATGAAACAAAACATACATTTGGATGATGACACTCACTTGCCAATGTTAACAGGCTGCTCTGCTGTTATTTTCTGAGCGGTTAACGCTATTGTTAGTTGAAGGCTCCTCTTTGGAGCGTGTGCTGTAGCGAAAAGGGCTGCATTTCCATCATAATAACAACTGAAAAGAGTGAACTGTCACAGGGCGCTTCCTCTCCTGGCTGTGATGCATGCCCCTCAGTCTGGCCTCGCTGTGCTGATGGATGAGCAAGAGAATACGCTTCCCTCAATGCCAAAACAAAGCCTCAAAATATGGGATCACTGCTGAGACAGAGAATGTCACAGACCCATTGCTCTATATGTCAACTAGAGTAAATATCATGGCCACATTAGTAGCACTCTCCCTGCTGTTTGAAACAATGACAATACGTAATAAGTGTTTTTAGACAATGGTCATTTTTTGATATCAAAGGGGATGGACAAAATTGGTTGTAAATTCATGAATGTACCAGAGCTTAGAGATTTGTTTTCCATGTGATCATTAACTCCTATCACTGGCGCGTCTGGCTTAGGGTGGTGTTAACTAAATGTAAACTTGTGACGGGAACACAAAATGTCTTCCTGTGAACAACCATGAACAAAGGGGGAACACATTGGAGAGAGAAATTAAGTGAGAGCTTCTGAGCAGCCAAAAATAGCCTCATAATTCATGCCGAAATAGAATACCATGATTGTGGTTAAACAACAAGCTGGGGAATTAGCACACTCCCAGCAGTGACTCATCGGGTGTTTGCCCTTGTTTAAAGTCTGTATGTGTAACAATGTTGCGTCTGTGTTTATCTTGGAGCCGAGGCATGACTTATAAACACCTCCACATACTTTCCCAGCATGAAAGTGTCCTCCCTCTGTATCCTACCTGATACCCATGCTCACCAACCATACCTGCCTGGCATACTCATATTCTGCTGGCCTCGATTCAATGCTGGCTTTCACAGTGCCAGGAGCTACAATGGTAGACCAATTGCAGAGAGCTGGATGCTCTTAGATGGAAGATTGCTTGCCTCAGGAAGGTTGCTTTGCTCTTCCTGCCTTTTAGACCAGAACCTGACTTAATCACCTAGAATAATGCAGGCACGCTCTAAATATGAATGTCACAATAAATAAACTAGAGCCCTCACAGAATGTTCTATAAAAATCACTTTTAGTGGCACACGGAAGACTGAATTAATGAATAATAATTATTTTCCAAAGCTCCTTCTTTCTCTCTCCAATGTGTTAACCACTGTGTTTATCTGAGAATTCAATATTGTAAAAGGTTCAAATCCAATTCAAATACTCCCTCCCTCCCTCCGTCCCCAGATTGGGGCCCCTATTCCTACCTGAGGGGAAACGTTCGATGACAGGCTGGTTGTCCACCTGTAGTGTGGCATTGCCACCACTGCGTGTGAACCGCACCACATGGTATTTGCCGTCGCTCACCATCACCGCGCTCTCCTCGATGATTATGTCGTCCGTTCCCACGTTGAAGATCACGCCGATCTTTCCCCGTTCCTTTAGACAGAGGACAACAAAGAACATCATGACAAAAATGCACTTACATACAGAAAAACTCAACTTTATTAGTAAAAGCACTTTATTAGTACATTAGTACAAGGTGAAGGTTGAACAAGGTTAACACAGGCAAGTCATCACAAGTTCTTTCCTTTCTGTCCATCCTATCAAATAAAACTGCCCTTTTCTCCATAACTAACAGCCCATTGTTTCACAGATAAAATTAACCCTTCCCTGTCTCATGTCCCGCCCCAACATCCTTGTTTAAAAGTAAATACAATGTATCTAAGATGTTTGATACCAGTTCAGTGATTTAAGTAATTAGTAAAAGTATTTGGAACATTCTGTACTCTAGGGGCATTCTAGTGGGAATGTCAGTCAGTCAGTCCATCACTTTGGACCAGACTTAAATGTCTCAACAGCTACTGGATGGATTGTCATGATATTTTATACGGATAGTCATGTCCCCCTCGGGATGATTTGTAATTTAGTATTTAGCTAAAAGCACTGCTGTGTTAAATATGCATTGTGCCTTAGTACAGCTTTGCAGAGCTGCAGGCGTGGTTGTACTGTAGACTCGAAGTCTTGTTTCCACTTTGAAAACCTAAAACCACATTTCAGGAGGTATACTGAACACTCTTTATTACTGATATCCCATTTCATATTTTTAACCATCAATAAATAAAGATACGCTCTTCAGAGAAGTCAGGTTTGAGTTTGCATCACATAATAGGGATCCGAGTAAAGAACCTGCATTAATGTTTCATGCCAATAGACATGATAAGGTTGCTCCTTTGCTGTCCTATGGCAAAAATCAAAAGATTTTTTCCTCGAGTCACCAAAAAGGCCCTCAGCGCCTGTAGCCTGATGACGCTGTGAGCATCAGATCTCACACACATCAGCCCGATAAAGAACAGAGTACTTGTTGAGGACTCAGGCACCTTTAGTATTCATCAACCCGGTGACCCCCTCCCCTCTCCCATCTATTAGTGTTGACAGCCGCCCACTGCTTCGAGTTTATTACAGTCAACCGCCTACTCTACTCTCATCTCCCGCCATCTCTCTGCTCTCCCTCTGTGGTTCCTGTCCTCAGTCCCAGGAAAGGTCAAAGTCATTTACAGAGTTACAGCCTGCCAGGGAGGCACAGAACAAGAGTGAGAGAGAGCGAGAGAGAGAAACAGACAGAGTACATACCAGACAGCACAATTACAGACAAATCCTCTGTCTGGCAGTAAATCTTCTGTTGCAATTTTATTCTACACAGCCATAAGATCCAAAGCAGTGACTGTCCTGTTGCCTATACCATTGGCAGGAACACTTCTGGTTGTCACTTCAGGTCAAGCTCATTTGAACAGATCGGTCACTTTTGCACACCGCTACCTGCCCATTCCAGCAACAACTTCATTGATTCCATTATCTCATTAGCTATGTGCATTTATTTTGCCACCTTCCATATGCTGAGATATTCAGAGGTGAACGTGTGGCTTTCGCTTGCAGCGCTTTTCCATTATTCATGGCTGATTAAGTATTTAAAAAAGGAAAATAAACCACCCTAATGTTAACAGAACTTAAAATAGCAAGTTAATTGAGTAAATAAGTGCAGAGGTTGTGCGGTAAGTTAATGAGCAGTATAATCACAGCCAAATTTATGTGCATCCTAACCACTCTTTGGTGCTGTATAAAGTGGTTACAGTATTCAGACAAGGCCACAGTATGGCCATGCACTGATGACAGCCACGATTAGGGTATTAATTGAGCATGCTCAAATGTCGCTGCAAGTGCTGGTGGCCAAGATTAATGGCTTAGAAGGATGCACGGAATATAAGTTAAACAGTCAGAATAAGTAAGAAGAATCAATATGGAAGCACAACAGGAAACAGAGCCAGCTGAGCGCTCTCCTACATGAAGATCAGAACTAAGTTCTGGGTGGATGGAGTTTCTTAGAGTGGAGCTTGATGGACTGGCTCAACAGATGATCTCATTCTGCAAAGAGGGCTGAACGTCTCAAATGGCAAAGTGCTTCCAGCTTCTTGGGCACTTAATCAATTGATTCATGTTATGGACTGACCCTCGCAGTCTTTCTGCCCGCTCTCCCTATGCATGCTGAAATCCAATATTGATTCTGAGACATGAATATGAATACTGTCAGAGAGCGATTAGCGAGGCGCACGTGAATGAAAATGTAATCAAAGCTTTGACTAGTGATACCTTTGAGATACTGCAGCAAGAAAAACAAAATGGAGAGGGTGAGTGAAATGCTTTTGGGATCATCTCCATTACAGCCCACGCACTAGGAAGCTTAGAATAATCATGACACCTTTGCCTGGAGAATTAATTCAATTTGCTAAGGCAAAGCAGAATGAATCCATGCTATTATGACTGAAAAGCAGAGGGGAGAGTGAATTTGAGTGATATTTACAGAGAGATTAGCATTTGTGTTCCGCAACATTAGGGTTCTTCCCGGTGCTGGGGGAATGTATTGAGCCCATTACGGTGGGAAGCCGCTGGGAACCAGTGCTTTTTTAAAAATGATTTTAGTGTAGTGGTAATGACATTTTAATGGCCATTTCCCTTAAGCGAACATATCTCTGGAAACAGAAGGAAAAAAACCTCTTTGAATGACTGGGAGCAGTCAAGCCTGCAACATTGAAATGAAGGGACTGGTGGGTAACTGACAATAAGCCCTGGCTGCTCTTTAAACACCACTGCTTCTAAACTACTGCTTAGCAGCCCTTAATCTGCTGCAGCTGTCGGCTAATGTCAGGAGTAAGAATGTTACGATTTCACTCTTTTATCCAGAGGTTAGCTCATCTTACTTCTCTCTCTGTGGGTCAATCAGCGGTGTAGGTAGGGGGTCCACTGTGAACTAGAGGAAAAGAGCTCTGCTTTATGCATTTTCAATTACAACCGATTAAAACCTCAAGTGCCTGAGGAAGACAGCATTTATTTGATCTCCTGAGTTCAACTAAACAAAGATCTTCAATGATAGGGGTTGGTTGGAAATACCTACAGATGGGAATGAGATTCAGTTTCAGCTAAATTAGTTTTGGTTTTGTTCCATCGAGTTTCATAGAGTTTATCTGATGAGAAAGCTAGTTAAGAAAAAACTTCTAGAATATTAATTACCCAAGCACAAACTTGACGTCCTTGACAAATATGTGAGATCTTGATACAACAAAAAGATGTTTTCTTCACAGAAGAAACTGCTGATCAGCTGCTCACACAACAGTGAGTTGATGACAGAGTTTAGCTGCCAGACAAAAAAAAGTTTGTGTAATCCTCTCATTAGAGTCTCTGCGTCCTTTTTCTCAAAGACAGAGAAAATTGGCTTTGGAATTCAGTGCAGCAGCCACAGACGAGAAAGAGCAGTGCTGGAATACGGAAAGCATTTCCGTCTGAAATATTTCAACATGACCTTGCGATGCGCAAGAGCGCGTCGAGGTAAACGCTGCCGGCGAGAGCGGAATGAGAATAAGGCAGCGCCAGAACGAGGCCGCGGTCGGCGTGTGTGTATCAGGGTTATCAGCCAGCCTCAGAGAGCTCTCACTGATCACGCCGAGCAGAAGAGGAAGAGGGAGCGGAGGAGGAGGAGGAGCAAGGGGCAGAGAGAAACACTGTGCGATAAAAGGACAGAGGGAACCTTGATGATCCTCCAGGGCCTCAAGGTACACTGAGTTCAAAGCTGCTTTTGAAGATGTCAAGATCTCGTTCTCTGTTCGCAGCACACACTGGTAGTCAACTAAGAAGGGGAAAATAGACAAAGGGGGAACGGGGATGCATTTGTGAAGGATTTGTTTTTTGGTTTCATTTCTTTATAGAGAGCTCAATCATGATGCGCTTCTTCTCTAACACCCCCTACAGCTCCATCTCCGCACACATCTTCCCCTTGATCTATTTGCATTTCCTCAATGTCTTTCTGCATTTCCCTCTCAAAACTGCTACATGAGCGTCAAGCGATTAAACAGAGAAAAACAACAGAGGTGGAACTGCTGCATGGACTGGAGGGTGGATTCAGCAAGCCAGATATGGTTGTTTAAATCACACAGGGCATTTTGCATTTTGCTGTATCAACGCCTCAAGAGACGGTCCAGAAACGTGGCTGACCACTTCAGGAATTTGCTGATGCTAATGATTTGGTTTGACAGATTTCATATTAATAGTCCTGTGGGTGGTGGAAATGCAAACTATTCATCGGCCTCTTTCTCGTTTCCCCAATAATGATCTATCACAGCCTGTATCTGCTTGAGCCTAACTTGACATACCAGTGTAAGTATGCGGAGCTGCAGTATTTATGAGCCTATGAATCAGCCAGTGGAGCAGCATGGACAGAGAAATAACTGATAAATAGATTTTTACTGGATGCCCAACAAAAAGCAATACATTTTTTTGCCCTCTTTTTCTATGGACACACACATCTGACACCACGTGGTGCAAGGCAGCTTAATATTTCATACAGTGTTACAGCTTGAGCAAGCATTTCCACTTATCTCTCTGCACTAATGTTAAATTTTATGTGTTATTTACAGTCACAGATTAATATTGGTGGATATTTTTAAGATATCTCACTGCCTGCTGCAACCGAGCCAGATATACCATCATATGGTATCTCTGCATCTCCCTTTTCGGGGTAATTCTGGCTCTGTTCGGCTAATCAGCTTGTCAACATGTATGCATAATGCCCATGAGAGGAGATCTGCCGTGGCATCTGCTACAAGGAGAACAGTATAGCGGGGCTAATCTTCCACTCTGAAACTGCAGCGTTATGTAAGAAGAAACAGGCTGTTGCATAACATGTAGACTCCTTACCGGCTAAATCACCGCACTGTCTGTTCACCTAACGTCTTCAGAGTGTCTGTGACAGGAAGAGGCACACATTATGAGGACGAATAGTCATTTTGGAGTGGGAATACTGTTATTTAGTGCTCAGAATTCACATTTTCCCTTCTCAACATTCACCTCAAATGACACAGGGCTCATACACTCAGAGCTACATGTGTTTT